ATGCAGTCTCTACGGCAAACTCAAAAGCTCAATGGATGGAACAAAACATCCATATAGAAGGCGAAGATCATGACTAACTAGAGTATCATTTTGTGAATGTGCATATCTGGATTCTTCTACATCACTCCTAGTTGAATACTATCCAAACACATAGAAATTGTGGGGTATTATAATCATGTCGCCGATTATAAAAGGAAAAACATAGAGGAATAAAAAGGTAAGTTCCAAAAGCCAACCCCGCTTCGTCCGCACAAAGGAAGCAACCGCAAACATAATATGATCACAATCATTAAAAAAAAAGAAAAGAAATGCATAAATAGGAGAGAAGGGACTGAACAGAGCTCACGCTTCTCGTGGAGGTAGGCGCCTAGCGAACACGCCCCAACTCTTCATGATCTCCTTGCCAAAATAATATTGTTTGGCTTGCTTGAAGTAAGATCACAAAACCCATAACATTATTGTCAATTCTGTACAAAATCCAAGGGAAGATAAATCCACCGCTTAGACTTACTTGACCAAAATTATTGTATTTCTTTTCAAGCTCACCAATATTCTTCAGCCTTGGTCTTCTTCAACTTTATTTCTTCGATATGTGAGACGCCGATGAAGGAAGCTCCAGTGTTGAATATCACGGACGGAAGAGAGCATCGTGAGGGCTTCTCAGGAGTAATGGAGATGTCGGCTTCCCTGGAGGCTTGACTGGTCGCGGAGACAAGATGTTGGACTGTAGGTACGCTGGTGATTTCGTTGCTGGTCGTGGACAAAGGCACCGGTAAACCTGCAAGAAAGCACCGATCGCGGACAAAGGCACTGGTAAACCTGCAAGAAAGCACCGAGAAACTCAAGAGGACTAGCTGGAAGGTTCACCAGACTAGTGGTGGGGCTGGATTCGCGGTGGCTCAACACTCCTCGGGTCGATTTGAGCATGCAAAGATTGCAGGAACTGGCGTCAGTGCATATTACGTCGGTGTGGTTCGGATGGTGCAGCTGGTGCAGCATGGAGACGGATGTGAGACGCAGTGCAGCAGAGACTGGAGCCACCACAGCGTCATCGGGATGGAGGTCGTGTGGGGAAAGCCTCTGCGGCCTTGGCTACAATGATGCTCTGTTGAAGAAGTGAAGGCGTGGAATTGGAGTGTGAAGCGTGAATATTTCGAGAGAGACACCCTTTGCCCTTCTTTCAAGCTTTGAAAGAGTTTCCACCCTTTGTGAAAGCAAACGCTTTCCACTCTAAATTTTGGCCGTTCCCCTCTTGAGAAGCAATAGTCCTCCTCCCTTCTCTTTACATAATAGAGTTTATATAGGGCTGACAATTAGGGTTTCTTTCAAGAGTAAGAGATGTCCCTCGTTTCCTAATAATTCGAATTCTAAAAGACATACTCTATCTTAACAATAAGAAACTCTTCTCTTCTCTTATTGTGATAATATCAAATCAATTTGCTTAATTATCCTCTAAGATTTGAATTTTGATAATATCAAGATTAATCGCCCCCAAGTTTTCTTTTTCTTTTCATAGATTAATTTTCCAATTTGACATTTAATTATGCAATTTTCGACTCCTTGGCATCGATGGTCTTGGCAAAATTTCATGCTCTTATGGGCTCAATCCAATTAATCCAATTAAGTTCACAACCATTCATGTAAGTCCATTTGTCGACGATCCAATTTAAATGTAAAGATAAGCGGCCTTATCACTAGTAATTAAAATGCTCATAGTATCTATGCACATATTTAACTAATATTTTTGTCTAGATTTTGGAATAATCCTTAATTGTTTATTCAACGAACAATTAAATATGTTATCAAAATTTAGATGTCGACGGATTCATGTTTCAGAGGAAGCTCCTAGGGTCACCCCGTTTCGGTGACCCCCTGGGCTTCATTAATACCTCCATTTGGATTTTTTGGGCCAACCATTAACTCCTCCTTGAACCACAGAACAAGTGCAAATCTCTCTCTCCCTCTCTTCTGAATATATTGTACACACGACAGCTGGATGCTGGCGAACCAGATGTCTTTCTTTGATGGCTTAGCTCTCTGAAGAGTGATAATGGACAAGATGTAGAATTCCCAAAAGTTCTTTACGGCTGCAGTTTACACAAACTTAGAAAAGAAAAAAGGAACATCTGGTGGGTAGCCAGCCATATTTCGATGCCTAAGATAATCTAGATCTGCAATGTATAACCCTCCTGCTGGATAGAGCATACACACTCCACTTGAATAAAAAATAGAAAACGAAAGAGATGGATCTAATCGGTGAAACTATCGAATCTCATTGCTGTGCTCTCCATCTAGTAGGTTGCTTCAATGGGCTGGAATTACAAAACTGCCCTGCGCTTTTGACCTTTTTTTATTTCTTTGAGACAGAACATTTGACTCCAATGCCAAGTTGTTGACACCCAAACATATACCAAGTCATGATGGGTCGATGTTAGGTTGTCGATGGAGCCAGCAGGATCGGTGAATAGCCGTTGCCAAATTAATGTCACGAGACCCATGGTCATCTAAGAAGAGTAGTAGGCCAGGATGGTCGGCGACGTGCAATGATAAACGGTCAGTAGTAAGCGAAGACTAGAAAAAAGTCAAGCTCAAGGACATGCCGAATAATATAATTGCTTATGATAAGAACGAGCAGTTAAGGACGATCTACATGAAGCCAGGTTAGTTGTAATTTGTAATTTAACAATAACCGCACGATGACAGTTCTATTTTGTACAAGGCTATATAATGCCAAGAGGCATTAGTTGTAAATGATCTGCAATCCATAACATTTGTGCAATTTTTATCCAATTCCAGTTTCCAGTTTTATCGATTTGCTATTCTTTATTCTTTAAATTCTCTAGATTCGCTTTAGTTACCATTAGTAATCCTTATTACGCAAATTAGTTCCTATCAGAATCGCCACAAAGCCCAATTCATATTAAAAATTAAAGATCAAACTTTTGCTAAAAGGTATTTCATCGTCCGCGATCCTATTTCGGCAAAACGCAAGACTACTAATCAAAACTTTAAACCCAGATCTCCTCTAGACAACTAAAACAGAAGAAAGAAAGTCAGAAAGATTGACAAAGGAAAATCAATCTCCCCCGTCCAATGAACTAGTGACAACCACAGCGATAGTCGTTGGAGTTCCAAGAAGTGAACTTGATCAAACCCCAAGCTCGTCGATCACACTTGATCAAACCACGATGGTTATTCGGGATGCCAGACACCGCTTTGCTTTCAGTCGGCTTGCTACAGGTGAGTTGACGGTGGGATACGCCTTAAGTAACAAAGAAGAATTGCTTGAGACGACATTAATAGAGGGAAATTCTCAAAATGTTGTTATACATGTGTCACTTTGATGGCCAAGCATTTACACAAAACACCTTTTCTATGCATATTTACTCATGACCATTATGAATAAGATATGAAACCTTATGTATTTCGTGATATCAGAAAATTTAAGTTTAACGTTATATTCCTAAATCTCAAATGCCCAAGCCAAATTATGTGCATATTCGCAAAATAGATTAGATGACCCTTGTACCATACTAAAGGGAGTGACTAATGCTACTACATCGCTCATATATTATAGTAATTTTGCAGCACCTCGCTCCTAGAAAATTATGCATGTATACCAATATATCTCGAAAGACCGCATGGTGCGCGACGCAAAAAAAGCTGTCATGCATTCACGCACGTTTCTTCCGCACGTGGCATTTGCCTTGCACACGCGTACAGTCTTCTGCAACTCGTGCGGGGATGACCAGTTAATGACCTGCTGTGTTTTTTCTTTCGGGTCGAATTTAAAGACACAGAAAATCCGACCCTTTTGGAGCGCAATTAAAGCTCTATTTTTTTATTTTGTTAAATATTAATCATCGAAAATCCTGATTAAATTCTGTAGTAGTCCCTGATTTATTGAGAGATAGACCCAATAACAGAAAAGCTTCTGAATAACTCTATAGCCAGTCAAATGCATTCTCGTGTAAATGCATAATAACTCGAAATTGCACGCAATCAAACTGTCATTAAGATCGGAAATAGAATCACGAAGCTTACCCATGCATCTACTAGCCTAATGATGGTCCAATTATGAGGAATTTTTACCATTAACACTCGATAAAATTACGAGGAGTTTTACCTATGCATGTAGGTGCCCCGAATGGAATTGATTCGAAATTAAAGGCACAAAATGACCGACATCGCTGTGGGTAATATGATAATCAATCCAATATAGACATATGAACAGAAATCGACATCCAATTTGAAGCTTGTCTATTAGGTCTAAAATTTATTCCAAAAATTTCTGAAACTTCTAGATCGCAATTCCCACGACCCAGATCATATCACGACGTGAAATTAATAGAATAGAACTAATATTCAACGTAGAAAAGAACCCCCACAAATTGATAAAAAGTCCTAACGGATTATGGTTCAAAATCACCATTTTCCTATTTATTTTAGACTGTGGTCTTTTGGGCAAATGGTTTGGTATTTTCTACGTTTTACTAGACAATGATAAGAACATAATCATGACTCGCAAAAAGAAAAAACACTCAAATTTCGACATTTTATTACCAGAAGAAAAGAGATCACGTCAGTAAATGAAAGCACACATAGGGAAGAAGCAATTGCAAATTGCCCCTTGACCGAGCAAAATATTGAGTTTTTCATGTACTTTTCGAGCCACCACGTGACTATCTCAACCAATCATGGTCGCCACGTGACCGATCAAATCACTGAGACTTCCTCACAATAATATGCTAGGCAAAGCCAACAAAGATCAAAACATTAATTGACTCATCATTATTACAAATTCAAGTATTTATGAAATAATCGGTATAAGCGGAAACCTTGAATCCAGTCATTGCAATTATTTGCTAGGAAATCTACATGAAACACATGCAAATCATTAACCTCTTTATCATCATTAGGGATGACACATGATATAGTTCAGAACTCTTGAGCTCAGACACATCAATAACACATCAAGAATAACTCAAAGTTCAAAAAGCTAGAACAAAAAATAAGCTCGATTATTGGATATGTTGATGACAAAAATTAGCATCAGAAAAGTGATGCCTACACAGTTTATGCCGTAAATTATCTTAACAATCTGATTATCAAGTTAAAGCATGAAATGGACTTCTGATCACAGCTGCAACCCTCAGTAAGCACATGAACATCCGGGCAAAAATTGATCCGGACAAGTATCACGCTTCCTTTCGTGGGTCCCTTGATGAAATTCTGTGATTGGAAAAGCAGTAAATGGCACATGCATTGTCAGTAAGAGTGCACTGAATTTTGAACACTTTTGGGATGCTAAATGTCTAACTGCATCCTCTTGCCATGAAAAGGAATGTGAATAATCATCAATAATATTGACACGGATCTCTATACTTAAAGGGCTATCTGAACGCACTGTAATTATTAAATTTTGTAAGATCTCGAAACAAAATAATTAGTTGTTTCTGACATCACACACAAACGGGAGAGAATCTTATTATGCTAGAATCAGCACCAATGAGATGTCACATCCAGATTTGCGCTTTACATGTAGAATACAAAGAGTCAGAAAACTATAGTTCAAAAGTAATTTTGCGATGAGTTCACCTCAAGAATGAGAACTACCTTTCAACAGCAAGTTTGACTTGGGTTATAGTCAAGTGAAGAGATTAACTAACAGGAATAAGAACAATGAGCAATATATTCAGAATAAACCAAGAATTAAGAATGAAGAGCAAGGATGTTGTCTTACTTCATCTTGAAGACCTTTATAGCATCCTCGTTGTGATTGACTACTATGATACAAGGAAATCTATAGCTAGAGGTATTATTAATCTTAGCATGAGCATCACTTCCTACTGCCACAGCAAGAAAAATTGCACAGTGCCCTAATCCGTGCCATTCCCTTTTAACAGGCTATACTCTAGAAGGTCACACCATGCAGCCCACTTGTTCTATGCACAAGTAACTGACAATCATTCAATATGCAGCAGAGTTGCATCATAATACCATACATGATGTCCAGGATGTTCAGAGAAGCAATAATCCTAATCCAAAGGTCTTACCTAGTCATGCAAAGCCATGAGAGGATTCAACAGGAAGAATCAATGCATGCAGATCTAATGAGAAGCTTGAGTAACATGAGACTTGTGAGGCTTTGGAGCTGAAATCCAAATATTAGCATTCAGCATATATCTATAATACTTAAACAAATCATAAATTCCACAATGTCATAAACAGCAAATAAATAGAAAAAGATGGAAAAATGGCGAAGAGAAATGATAGTCATGTTACAGGGTTCTATGAAACAGAGAAGAAAACGAAATTCATTTTATCATTGCGTAGACAAATTATTTCAAGGCCATCTTTTCTGTATGTATGAGTCTCCAAAGCTTACTAATTATCTCAGAAGCATGAAAAGGTTATAATCTGATCAGTCTCTTGAAATATTTGCAACTGAAGAGCTCAAATTCGAGAATTTGCTCGACCAAGAACCCTATAGGTTTAGTAATTCACGATAGGGATCAAGGACGAAGATACTTCTCCTAACAGAGTCTAACCAACAGATTATCAACTAACTTCATCTCTAAACAAAGGACAAGATGTTTCATTTCTCAGATGGCAATCCGGCTAAGAATACCCAGTCTAGAGAAAAGCTAGATTTGATAAACAGGGCATCTGAAAATTGGCCAAAAGAAAAGACTGGGTTTCTGAAACTCTACCTTTTTGTTTACTAGGCAAGTTCTATGCCTATTCATAGCAACCATTACATGGCTGAACGCTACTCCACTGAAGCAACTATACTTAGTGTCGGTCTGGACAAGTGTACCCACCATCTCAAGATGTGCACCTTATCCTTGATGTGTCAAACTTCTGAATGGATTCTTATGCAGCCAACGACCCACTAATTCTATGCTACCAATTTTATTATCCTTTATATAATTACAAACAATTCCACTGGGCCAGTTTTATTTACCTGGAATCTGGGTAGATAATTCTCCAGACCAACGGTACAACAACATATTTTACTGAAAAAAACCATTTACATATGGACGCGCGCGAGAGAGAGAGAGAGAGAGAGAGAGAGAGAGAGAGAGAGAGAGAGAGAGAGAGTTGTTCAGCAAGATTTCCAAAATTACGGAAAGTCCCAGCTACAGTTCTCTCTAGCTGGTTGAGAGAATTGATTGAAAAGTAGAATTAAAATGAGGCTTCCTGAATTCTTCTCAAGCAATATGAATGGGGATGAGTGCTAGAAAGACCATAGCATTAGATTTTGAAAGAGCTTTATTCGGAGGGGTCCTTCAGGGAGATGTTGCTAGCAGGCATAATGCTCAAGTTCATTGATTGATAAAGTAAACTTTGGTTTGTAAGGTAGAATTGCTCTATTATGCTCATAAAGGCCTCTTAAAGAGTGCATTTAATTAGGGGTCCATTGAAAAAGAACGATCATTTCCCTGAGGTTATCCAATGTAAATAGCTGCTAACTACAAGATTATAGCATTCTTTTGAACAGACAGTTCATCTGGTTAAAATGGTTGATCGTCGTTCATACCATCTGGGTTTCCTCATTCATAAAAATCTTGAAGAAGAGAAATCGCTTCTGATGCCATTATACCTCCACAACATTTGAAACACTTTGATCCAGAATTTCCATTACTGCAAGAGAAACAAGAAAAAAGTTGGAAACATTCATAAATCGGGTAGACACATGAAAGGGGAAACATAGATGAAATTTATGTGAAAACCACCCAATGACAGATTCCATTTGCAAAACATGTCCAAATATCAAGCAAGATATAATTTAGCAGACTAATGAAAGCACTTTGCAAAAGAAGGTGCCATCTAGGCAAAAACAAGTTCACCAATAAAGGAATGTGCTCAACGTAGGAAGTTTACGCTTAGGTCCTAAGAATATCAATTTTAAGAAATGTCTGTACTCCAGGAAATAGGTTTTCAGGCAAGTAAATTATCTCTGAAGTGTACCCTATGACAAACAATAGCTGTAAACAGGGGATACTTCGGGGCTTTTAACATGGATGGCAAGTTCTCTTCAGAGAGATATTGGCATGGGGAATCTGATAGAGAGAAGATTTGCAAATGACTTGTCTACTAATACTGGCTAGGATCGGTTTCAATTAGCTACATCTTCCAAACATTGCATATGAACCATGCTCACCGTTATAACAACTGTCTCATTCTCTCTAACATGAAACTATGCAATGATTAGGGCTAGTTTTTGAGCTCCACACGGTGGAAATTGAGCAAGGTGGTACTTTATCTGAAAGATGCGTCCTCTTGCTTGATGTCCTATTCAGAAAGGCAATGAGCTAGTTCATATTTCCCACAATACTTTTGACTTCTAATCAGACTCTTAAGAGCAGCATAAGTATCAATTTCTTGCTTTAAAAGTTAGAGTTTTCATGGCTTATTTTTTTCCCCCTAAAATTTTTCACTCATACTTACTCTTTCTTCTTCCTTATAACCAGATTATCAAGAGCAGCATATGTATCAATCTCTTGCTCTAAAATTTTCATGGCTTATTTTTTCCCCCCTAAAATTTTTTACTCATACTCTTGCTCCTCCAACACCCCACCCCACCCCCCCTCCCCTCCTCCCCGTACTTGAGTTTCTTCTTTCAAAACTGATAATTCAACAGAAAGACATTGTCTGTAATCTACATTAGCTACTCCATGTACTGCTCAAATCACAATGAAACAGATCTTATTTCATTACGTTTTTAGCTTTTATGTCGACAAAGTCTGAGTAAAAAATTGATGACTTCTGGACAATCTCAGGAAACATGAAATGTTAGATCATGGCAGCGTTAGACAGATGAAAAATCATAATGGAAATACATGCCATACACCACAATTTACCAAGCACATGCCCTCATGTATGCAAGAGGAGACAATTGCAACTAATAAACAAGAAAAAGAGATTTCTTTATTAAGTACATTGCCCATGACATATCAAAAAGCATAATTTCCTCATAGCTCAATCATATTTCTTTGAAGATGCTATATTTCCCGCTTTAAACTTGATAACATTAAAGACATCAAAGAATCTCACTGCAATGGAAAAAAGCGAGGAAAATGAGATGAAGAAACAGGGGGGGAAAGAGAAATGGAAAGAACAAACTAATGTTACCTTAACTTGCAGTACTTCCCAGAACAGTAAATGTTTAGGGCAAAACAAAAAAAGAAATATCTAACAAGTTGCATAGAATTAAAAAAAAAAAAAAAAGGAAACTCGACTTTCTTCCATTTAGACTTGGAAAAGGACAGAAAAGGTGAAAAATTATTTTCCATAAACCTCCATTTGTTTTCATTGTTATGTGTCCTAATATTCAAAGTGCGACAACAAGCAGAATTACTACGAAACCACATCCATCAGTAATAAACATAAGGAGTCACAAACCTGTGGTAAGCTTTAGTTGTCAAATATCATATGTCACAATTTCAAAGTGGAGCTACGTAGATACCAAATCAGCACAAAAGCAAGTTCAGAAACTGACCTAATGGATAGCTCAGAGCTACTTGAATGCATCGGCAGTATTGAACCATAGCCTCCAAATTTATCATTTGCACAGCCATTTTTATACCTAAAAATGGCTAAGATTCATCTAATCATTTATGACTAATCAAATTTTATGAAAGTTTAGTTTTATTTCAGTATGATCAACAGATGTATCAATGATCGATAATGCTGCTGCACACATTATGCATGGTTCACATGTCACATAAAGAGAGCATGCTGAAAACCTCTCTGCAACTTCTGCAGATGAAAATCTAGTCCTCCGCCACTATTCAAAAAGAACGTCAAGTGCTTCCATTTCTACATGTCTTGTTGCCTAGGAATGCGCAAGGAGAAAAATAAAGAAAGCATATCAAACTTAGGAGCTTTGTAGAGAGAAAGTTGCTCTTATTGTAGTATCAACATAAACTTAGGAAATGCATTTCATGAAAAATGTTTTCTCCTTCACGTTTATTTATTTTTTACTCTTGCTTAACATTTGATTCCAAATCTATTTCATCTTCAAATTGCCTCTTTCGTATCTGCTCCATGTTGACTATACTTTCAAGGCTTGAATTATGTTCAGCCTTTGCTCGGTCTGCAGACTAAGTGGGGAAAATTACAGTGTGTACATTGTATCGTAGGGACAGGATTTTCATCAGAGCCAATTGCATTAGATCATGACTCCAATTGGAAGAACCACTGTCTTTAAGACAGATTCGTCAACACACCTTATCCGGAATTTCAGTTCTTTCTTCAAATACCCACAACACTAAGAGTCTAAGAGAGGATCTTATGCGTGAAGCATGGACAACTCTTGTTGCTCTTCAATGTGAAGGTGTGGACATTGTTTGAAGAGCATTCTCCTTACTATTAGGTGTTCGATCTAATTTCTAGTACTCAAGCGTTATATTCTTTGAAATTTTATGTGAAATTGCAGTTATCCTCCCTATCCCTGAGATTTTGCAAAGTCTCTTAACTCGCTTCCCATACCTTTAGAATTTTGCATCTCTCTCTACATCTTTTTAATCAAGAGAGGTGAAGCCACGATAACAACTCACTCTTCTGTAATGTAAAGAATAAACATGTACTCAGAATAATCTATAAATTTATAATCTGTTTTAGGCAATCAGTACTCATTGACATATTCAAGCATGCAATACAACACAATCCATGAGCAGTCAACATTCTGGTCCAGCAGCTTGCAACGGCTTTATATCTTTCAAAAAAATAAATGTCATTCCCCAATTTTCTCTCTCCTCATTGAACCTTTTTCTTTGACTGTTCTTGGTCCAAAATTCAGACAGAGCACAGTGGCAAATGAGAAACATGAAACATTGTACATAGTAAACCAAGATTCTTGCTATTGTTAGCTTTAGTCATATTTTATGAAAGAATAATGGGAACAAAACCATTTACAGACTAATAATGCACAGAAAATTCCACTTTTTAACAGATTTGTTCAGATATACTATTTTATCATATATTATAGAAATATTTAAGGCAGAAACACAAAAAAGATCAACAATAACTACGAGTGGATAATGTGAGGGTATCAATTCAGAACAACAACAAAGTGCCGCCGGCCAAAATTTATATAAAGGGGTGGAGAAGCAATGATAGACATACATTCTGTGTCTCATTAGTCCTGTTTCTTCCTGCCACAATAAGATGCCCTTCCTCAACAATCACACAGCTGTTCATTCAAAGTATAATTTAAAAAAAGTACAACATGAAATCATTTATTAATTAGGACTAAAAATACTAATCATCTTAATTAGAAAATAAAGTAGTAGCATATCTGAGATGCACCTGGTTACTGAAAATCTGTTTCTTACCCAACTGGAACTTCAAAGCTGTCCAAAGCAAGCTTTGCCTTCTATCAGAAAAGCAAATTGGTCTTGTTACTTGTTCGGAGGAAAAATATGAGTATAAGAGTTTGAATTTCCCTCGTACGTGCATACAGGCAATTCAAGGGGAAATCAGCATCAAGTTGCCAGCAGTAGAAATATCTCAGTATCAGTATGCAGCTACTAATGGAATGAATCCATGTCTCATAGCTATATCATCAAGATCTTGCAGGTCATGTATAATATACTGGTCACAAATTTCCAAGTAATGATTATTAGTACATACTCATCCTGTAATTCAGATGCAAATCCCACCTAACACTTAAACTGACATGGCTGTAAGAACACCAAAGCAAAAACAGCAGCAAATTTGAGAAACTACATGTTGCTCACTCCGGTGCATCTTATTATTGGTACCTCAGAAGTTTATCTTTCATTAATCAGGTTCCACTAAAACATTCAAGAAGCTTCTGGGAGTTTTAGTTTGTAGCTCAATTTCCTTCATAAACGCTGTGGAACATAAGGATAAAAAGAGAACTTTAAACTGTTGCAAAGGCCACAGAAATCAGAATTGACAATCAGCTTCGTGTGCTTTTGTCTCTATTCAACAGAACAATTTATGCAAACACCGTGTTTCTCATGATTCTTTTCTTTTTCATATGAACAGTCCACAGGGCGAGAGTAAATAACCACCTAACCAGTTATCCATGGGCACAAGCCGATGTTCATATTACTGTCGTGCCCTAACTAGAATTGGTTTTATTTCTCCCCAGTTGCCAAAGTCAAAAAGGGGTAAAATGACTCGACTGTCAAGCAATACTTCGTGGTGGCTTGCCATCTCACTGCAACTTCTTCATCCCTCTATAGTTTTGCCTGTTCAAGTGCCTGACAAAACTTAGCCAAAGAGTCCTATCCTAGTGATCGAAGTTTCTCAAAATTCAATTGTCCTGGCAAACCTGTCACCAGCTGCACATCTTTATGATAGGTACATACTACATTTCCCAGACATGTCAAAAGCACCCCCAAAATCTCTCTCTCTCTCTCTCTCTCTCTCTCTCTCTCTCTCTCTCTCTCAAGAAAAGCTATACCTTCTAGAGATTGTCACAGATTTTGCAGCGTCTAACGTCGATTACCAATGAATTCACTACCAATCATCCACAGACAAATCTTACAAAGAAACACTAGTTCAACATCTCTCAAACAAATTGAACGACACATTAATCGGGTCCCCACGCAATAGTAGCACCAAACGAATCGAATTCAAAATCCAGCTCAAGTATCACATCAACTAATACAATTCGGATGTGCCAGGCTTTACCTGATCCATAGCAAGCTGAACAAAGCCCAAAACCTCAGGAGAGAATGGTTCACCCGAAGCAACGTCATCAGTATCCATTGATTCGGACGGCGGTGGTAGTCCGTCGCCTCCGCTCGCCGGCCTCCGTCGCCGTGGCTTCGATAAAGACTCTGTTTTAGGGAGACGAACTTCTTCTTCTATTCATCGCCTCCATCGGCAGGTGGCGATCTTACATTCGTCAGAGCTCGGTGGTGTCGGATGGAAGAGGAGCAGTCGTGACGTTGAAAGTGGCATCGGTGGAGTCCGAAGTTTGCCCATGGCAGAGAAAAGAGGATCCCCCAAAAGAAGAGAGAAAAACTAAATACAAAGAAAAGTGACAAAAGAGAAGAAAGAACAACAGGATTTTAGTTAGGATGTACAGTTAACTTGGGCAAAAGTAGGTACTAACAGCGTGTTACCGGTTTTTCTGAGAAAGGAAAACAAGAAGGAACAAGAAGAAAGAAGGCATTTTAACCAAGATCAGCTGATTTTACTGACCTACGAATTGCTTCCTTGGCAAGTTCCATCATTCTGACAACAAAAGCTGTAAGCCAACAACGCCACCGTACTCATCTCCACCAACCGAATTGGAAGTCAACATAGTCTTGGTTCGTATGCCTTGAGTGAGAATAGGATTATGATTTCTCTTTGGCGCTATTTGACTATACTTCTTGGTGCTTATTTGACAGTCTTCCAAGTCTTTCTGCAAATCTATTTCAGTCTGAACTAGTGAACTCTCAGCTTCTGAATCTGTTGAGTCATGACTAACTTCATAGAGGAAAGCTGGATCAATTAGCTGATTGTCTTGAAGCACACCCTCTAAATCGTCATCTAATTGCTTGCATATTATTCGGAATCCCAACTTTTTTATGATTTTGCCAGATATTGCAAGGTGAAATTGTGCATAACTCCCCTCAATTTGATCAAAATCGACTACTCCCCGTGGTTTAGAAGGTATATAGCTAAACCAGATATGATCCGAATCCAACAATCCGAAAATATTTTCGATGGTTAGCCGACGTTTGCCGTTAACACTAAGTGTAATCTTAGCTGAGTGTTGCTTTGTCTCGTTATCAGTTTTAACAACGGCACAGAGAGCAAATCCAAGAAATTTGTCATACAAGTCCTTTGAAACCATGAAAGATATGAAATCCTCTTTAACAGGGATGACCCACTTTGGCATATCTCCTCCAGGGAGCGAGGCAAAGAAACCACGACTATTCTGTTTTAAGAAAACCGTTAGAATGTACCCAAATTTGTTATTCATAACCAAATAAATGAATTCAATTGGAGTTTAGTAAGCAATCCATTTCGAACTAGAGCTCTAAAATGAGTAGAGATCCACTGATCCATGCTTGCATTAATGTACAGGTCTCATGCGATAGAAATCATTCCCATAAAAGTACGGTAGCTGCCCTTTTCTTAAGCCTCAAATCTTGCGTTTTCTGATTTTGCAATATACAAGCACACACTACAGCACGCACATACTCCACATGAATGAGCGCATGAGAGAGAGAGAGAGAGAGAGAGAGAGAGAGAGAGAGAGAGAGAGAGAGAGAGAGAGAGAGAATCTAACCTGGTTACGTGAGAAAATATGATCCATGGTAAACACTCTTCGGACAAAATCATGAGATGAAGTAAATTTTCCAATCTTTTGCAGAGATTCGCAATTAACCGCCCCCAAAAAATCCAAAAATGGTGGAAGCTCAAGAATCTCTTGTAATTGATGGCAATCTTGAACTTCCAAAAAGGTCAAACTATCACGCTTATTGATGGATGTGGGAAGGCTAGTAATTTTGTTCTCCGCCAGAACTAAACAATCCAACAAGGGAAAACATGAAAGATTCTCAAGAAATTTTACTTCGGACAGATTACATCCCCTAAGGTTCAAGTAGAGTAACTTTGGAAGTCCAGTCTTCATGTGTGGATCAGCTAAATCCTCGTACTTTGGAAACCCGAATAATTTTGTGCAACCCTCAAGAATCAACTTTTCAATGTTTTGTAACTTGTAAATGCTAGACGGAAGACTTACGAGGTTCTTGCAATCACCTACATTCATTCTCTCCAAAGAGACTAGATTTTCTATTGATGTAGGAAGTTCTCTAATAGCGGTCCCTTGTAAAGCAAGCTCTTTTAGGCCTAATTTTTGTGGAATATCAGGGAACCTTCCAAGTTTTGTGCAATTTACAAGATGGAGAGCTCGAAGATTTCTCGACTTGAGCTCATTTGGGAAAACGCTAAGTTCAGAGCACCCCTTTAAAGTCAAAACCTGTAAATTGTCATGATATGCAATAGACTCGTGTGCTTCTACCAAATTTTTGCAATTCTCGAGATTCAATTCCTCGAGATTTGGAGCACATGAGAGGTCGGGCATACTAATTAGCATCTCACATTCACTTAAATTCATGTACTTCATATTTGGGAAGTCCTGCAAAAACAGCAAAACCAACTTTGGTAAACATTTTAAAGTGATTTTAATATTTTGTTATTCCTTTCATCAATTATCCTCAATAACTTATATCACAGATATTATACCCATGGACAAATACATGAAGTTGGTTATTCTATTTAATCTCTCACGTGATTAAAATTAAAATTTGAATTTTCTTATGATCCAATGACCTTCATAAAAACTTTCAAATTTTGAAATATTTTTCTCTTTCGACAAGTTCCTTCGTTCCGTCTATTTTTAACAACAAATGTTTCCATTACATATTTCTAATAAAGTTATTTAGCTTAATTTTTCAAATGCCAATTTTGATGCACGTAAAAATATTTCAAACAGCAAGTTATTAGGGTCATTTTGAAAGAAAATAGAGAAGTGATTTCTAAAACATAGGAATACCACTTCCTTTTGTGTACAAGTACACGTAACAAGCATATACACATACAAATGAAATAAATAATAAAAAGGTCTATGTAGGTAAATCCTCACCGTAAATTGTTTTAGCACTACTGTGATGCTGCTTTTGCTCACATCAAATCCCACTAATTTATTTCGACCAGAGGAAAATTCTGGAACGGAGGGAGCACATCCAGGCCATTCAAACCATCTAAGCTCATGAGAAAGACATAAAGGACCTTGGAAAGCATTATGCACATTGTGCATGATGAGTAATCTCAACCTTCTCATTTTTGTAAAAGCATCAGGACCAATATACATGTTTGTCGGCTCAGGTAGCTCCAACACTATGGCTTTTACAGCACAATCTCCCTGTACATACAAGATTATTTAGGTTATGCATTTTTAGTAATTAAAGTCAAAGATAAGAAGCACAATTTTGATCGTGTTCGCAGGTCTTACCATGTCACGTGACAAAACATCAACAACATCATCATATAGCCATAGCCTAGTGCGTCTTCCGGGATCATCGCGACATTCTTGTTTCACAATATCCATACCCATCAATTGAATTAAGTCATGCATTTCTAGGATTTTGGTCTCAATTCTTATCAAGGACCTCTTAATAAGAATTTCGAATCCTACAGCTGTCTGGAGATCGCAACTGTTGAGAACCTTGTTTGTATACTCTCTTTCCTGCCCCTTAAAGAAGCAAGCAATGTGGAGAAAGATCTCTTTCTCATTTTCATCTAGTCCATCGTAACTCATTTTGAGCACATTATTAATGGTTTTGTTAGGAATCCTAGAAAGTTTCATTAGTGTACTTTCCCATATGTCTTCCGATGTACCACATAATAAGGAACCCAACACCTCAAGCGCTAAAGGGAGGCCTTTACAATAATTCAGAGCACTATCCACTAGATCTGTTTTGATTTGGTGCTTCTGAAAAGCATGCTTACAAAGCAGCTCATGAGCTTGATTGTCATCTAGTGCTTCAACTTCATACACATGATCTTGATTTATCCCGTGACAAGTTAGCAAATGTTTATCTCTTGTGGTAATAATGATCCTACTCTCATTACCAAACCACTTGCCTTCTCCTGCTAAAGCATTTAATTGGCGCAAGTCATCGACGTCATCAAGGATGAGGAGAACTTTCTTGCAACCAAGTCTGTGTTGTATTATATTAATACCTTCATCGACGTTGGACACTTGTAATTTTTTTTTTAGTAATAATATATCTTTTAGTAATATTTCTTGCAAATTAACTAGACCCGTGCTACCTTTTGAAGTTTCTCGAACATTTGCCAGAAAACATGAACCCTCAAATTGTCTAAATATAGCATTGTAAAGAGCTTTTGCTAAACTTGTCTTCCCTATACCTCCCTGTCCCCATAATCCCGCCATGAGAATACCATCATCAGACTCCAGATTTAACGTCGATTTCAACTTAATCACTTGGGAATCTATCCCAACCGGGTGCTTAGCAACATGCAAAGGTTTTCGGTCTAGGTGATTAGAGATCTCCTTCACAATTTTTTGTATAAGCTTTGACTCATCTCTGTCAAAAACAGAAAAAGAAGTTGGAGCATCATATGAGCAATCATAAGCTAATAATGATAAAGCAATGCATCACATTTTCAGATTATAGATATATATATCCACCTAGTTGAATTAGAACTCCAAGAGCTCCACACCAATCAAAACAACCATTCCGGGGTTCAACTTTTAGTCATCCAAGTGATTCATGCTCTTTTGATTTATATATGACGATTTACTTAGTTTTGCTTTTGACTTTTATATGTGATATATCTATACACTTCATCAAAAAGAGCTATTTAGGACTTTGAAAACTATTAAATACCCTAAAGCACCGTGTCATTGCCTTACATGGCCTATACACACTAATTATCTTGTAACTGACCTTGCGAGCTTTCTTACTCCTTCCAAAGAAATGGGGTAGGTGCAATAACACTACTTAACATTTTATCCATTGGTAGATCAAGTATTAACATATTATAGTTGACATCATGTGTGTCGATTCATTTATTCTTTTTTACAAACAGTCTTTATACTTTGTAAAGATTGGTTTCTTGCGCAAAATATGAACTCCACTCAACTTACCCATCGTTCAAATGCCATCCGGATAAGCTACCCACGTTGAAAAGAGCTTTCTTCCATCTCTTCACTTCCTCCGAATCCTTTCCGAACTTGGACTCATGCTTAGCTAGAACTCTCCCATAACTCTCTCTCCCCCTTCTCACTTCTCTTGGATCCACTTTATAAAAAACTGGTAGAACAGTGAGGTCCTTTTGTTCCTTGCACTCCATAATCTTTGCCACCTCTTCCAAGCACCATCGCGAGGAAGCATAATCCTCCGAGAAAACGATGATTGCAATGCATGATTGCTCGATGGCCTTCATAAGCACTGGCGATATTTGGTCTCCCTTCCTCAGCTCCTCGCTATCAACAAAAGTGTATATTCCATTTTGCTCTAAAGATTTGTAGAGATGACTGAGAAAGTTGTTGCGCAAGTCTGCACCTCTGAAACTCAAGAAGACGTCGTAAATCCTTTTGGGTTTCGATGAAGAAGCCATTGGATGATGGAGTTTGCCAATCAGCAACGACTATTAGCTTAAGATCCGATACAGTGATTTTAGGTAGTTTGTTCATTACCACTTGATCTTCTTCTTGATTTATTCTTATACTAAGAGGATAGAGATGCATGACTTTTTTTTAGTACTATGACCGAGACATCTAAAGGTGTGAACACATGGACTTATTTTCACCGAATACCGCGTACCACCGCTTTATTCGGATGGTCAGAGGGACACAAGCTTCTCTATGGCCGACGAAAGCAGTGAATATTATAGATCAGTGCTCGTCCTAGTGGACTCGATCATTGCACAAACCGACAAGCAACTTTGGAAAAACATGAGCTCGGTGATAAAAACAACTTTGCTGGCTTCCTCGAAATTTTCATTCCCAACCTCTGAGAAGTTGTGTTTTCCTTGCTATATAATAATCTACCTCATGGCCCACTCAAGAGATATATAATTACACGCAGAATCAAGTGTACCAGCAAAAAAATATTAGACTTATTAATGATAGTAGAACTTTGGAAAAATATGGTGCTTAAGTATGGACCAAGATACTTAATAGGTATGAACATATGGACTTATTTTGACTGAAGACCGCGTACCAGTTTCGTGGACTGGACACTAATTAATTAGTTAATTGATTTCTTGTCATTATAAAAAAAAGGCGCTATGAAATCTGTGGTGATAGCATGTGCAAAGTTATTGGGTTTTGAAACCAAGAATCTTTCTTTAATCAAGAGCCACCTGTTTGTACTCATCTAGTCTTTATTGCGAAGCATTTTTAACATTCGTGCGTACATGTGATTTGGTTTGGATTTACTCCACCTCGAATAACGTGATCGTCAACAAGCCGTTGGACTGACAAACTTGTGAGAAATGGTGGATCTAGAAGCTCATGTATGTATAGACAAACGCAATATTAGCCTACTGGAAATTTAGGATATGTGAACATTCATGAGAAAATAATTGAATAGTATTTGAACCGTGTTATAATAGCATTTGAACTACCTTATGAAAAACCAAAATATATATTTCATGCTGAGGATTGTCACACAAAATTTTTTCTAGTTTCTTTTTTGTGAACTCAAATGGTTTTACGCCCAAAAAAGTCAAAACTTTTTTTCAAAGCACTCCTAATGGAAAATATGGCTCGGTGACACGGACAAGTTACCGGAATAAAAAATATTATATATATATTAGTGCCTTCATTTAATAGTAAAATGTTATTCTTAACCAAAACAAAGCATGAACCGATGTCGGAATAGACCATAGTTACTGCATCCACGACTCAAAGTTGTGTTGTGTCGTAGCTACAAGTGAAAGATATAGACTGTAGTTAGGTCTAACCCTTTTTCACTTTTTTATCATAATCATAGCTACCTTGGAGGCTTATAAAACACCATATAAGCCCATGAACAATTTAAATTAGGTTTTTTGAGAATATCCGTTGGTATGACTTTCATGATGCATATTGGCAGTACATAGTTATAAGGCTGCATTACTTGTTACTTAACGTCATAGAAATGACGCTGAATATTACTTGCTATGCTGCGATTGTGCGTTCCCCTTTTATTTCCATTCTAGGTCACAAGAACGAAAAGAGTAAACGGGAGCACGTGGAGAGTGATATGAGGTGACTTTGAATGACATTTACCAAATGAATTTTAGTAAATTGAGAGTGCAAGTGAATTCCTTTTGAAAATGGTTTAAATATTTTTACGTTAAAGGCTTAGTACTTTATGGGAAGGCCTATCATTCCCTATAATGTCGGTATGAATTTGAGGTATGATACATATACTAAACATATTTCTCGAAATATAAATTAAAATGCATAAGATTTTCACTAACTAAACGGGTGCCTAGCTGCCAGCCTTCCAAGACGGGGGGAATGTCACGCCCCGAACCCCCGTCGAGCCCGCGACATCCCGCCTCCGGTCGAACAGAGTGCGACGTCCCAGGAATAACGTCGCCGACCCAACGATCCATCAGAGTTAACTCGCGGCAGAAGCAATCAAAAATCCCGGACATTAAAATTGGAGAACACCAGGAAGGAACAAATCGACAAACCACCAAGCATATATTACACTTCCAAATATTTACATCATCCGCCAATACAAACTACAAAATAATTTATAAGCACACCGAACTATGAACTCCAAACCACCAAAATATCAAGATCAGCTCTCTAGGTCAGCACTATCCAAAAATGGGGCGCATCCTCCTCCCAGAACTATCCCCTACGCCCTCTCGAAGGCGTCCACTCTGACTCACTGTCCTCGGCATCACCACCTGAATCCTCCGCAGCTGTCTGCTCACCCGATGACTCCGAGTCGACCTCAATCTCGACATTCAGGTGGGGGCTCTGAAATGGTTTGGTTGAAACAACCATGAGATCACATCTCAATAAGTCACAACCTAAGCCCCACCTAGGCTATCACGTAATTCCAGACACATCCAAACGCGCAACCAAACAACTACACAACCAGCAATCAAACATTCACACATACCTGGACTCTCTGCATACGCACCATGCACGTTAGCCCACAATCCCAACATACAATTCTTGCACACATGCCATCACACACTTTCCACATATCAATACACACGCCAATCATACCACAGCGGTACATCACAGCCGGCGTGCCTCGATTATAAAGCAAAACCTACTTGGGCACGTCCCATACCATGCCTAGCAGATTTTACCCCATAATCGCGCACTGCATCACGCGATACAAACACACTCGCACACTAACTCACACCATGCATCACTTTCACAATCCTCACATGTCAAGCCAAATCCCGCTCGTTCTCAACCTTTCCACCACTACCGCGCCCGCGTAAAACGCATCAGGCCAACGGTCTTCTGACCTCGTCAGGCATCGACACCCCGTCGGGCCGGGCATCATCACCTCGTCAGGGACGGCATCATCCAGCGTAAACGAACACGCCTCAGGACGGAATCCTACACACACTTTCCTTCTACCGCGCCCGCGTAAAACGCATCAGGCCAAGGTCTTCTGACCACGTCAGGCATCGTCACCCCGTCGGGCCGGGCATCGTCACCTCGTCAGGGACGGCATCGTCCCACGTAAACGTACACGCCTCAGGACGGACCTCACCCCGCGTAAACGTACACGCCTCAGGGTCTCACTTTTCAAACCAATCCTACATTCCAGTACCTTCGTTCCACTCAAATCACATTTGTCACACGGCCATACCTACACACTGCCAAACACGCACACCTCACACACATTTCACAATTTCACATTCTCGTCACATGAACACGCCACCCAATCACACATTCTTGGCACGCGAATACAATACGCGAATGCACTATCACACCACCACATCTCACGGCCAAACACACACGGCATATCACCAATCCACATTCAAACACACATTCAGGCTCAATTCCCGCCACAAGGGCAGCAACCATTCAACCTCGACACCCCCACCATTCCGCTGATAAAAACGAACATCCAAAGAATCGGGGTAAAATTGGGCAGTTTATACAGTGACCAAAATCTCATCAAAATAAATAGTAAACGAACTCCAAAAATTCTCAATTTTGGATATGTCACAAAACACACCCCGATAAACATTTCTTATGAAGAACACGAAATCCGGTTCAAACTACAACCATGCCTTTTTGTCCCTCGAAATCAGACCAAAATCAGTTTGCTCCAACAGAATATTTTGTCCTCAAAATACATTTATTTCAACACCCAAATCATCTTGAAAAACTTTGAAATTTTTATATGTTATAACCACGAATGTCCCCAACAACTTCTGTGAAGGAATAATTTTGAAAATAGGCCTGGAAAAATTTATAAAAATTCGAACAGACCCGAAGGTCGGGTGAACAGTAAATCGGGCAGTTTTATTTCGGTCCAAAGATGGACTTCCGAATGACCTCAAATGATTTCCAAAAATTCCCAAATTAAAGTATGTTATACCTCAAGATGTTGTGAACAACTTTTATGAAGAAACCTTCTTCAAATTCGGCCCACAAAATTCTCTACAAAAATAGCAAACCGGCGGGTACAGTAACCGTGAATCCGCGATTCACCCCGAACCTCACGGATTCAAACCCGAACCGATTTCCACCGAATTCCAACCGCCAAAACTCATTTCCCGACGTCTAATCCAACCCGCAACAACCACTACCAGCCATACTCAGCCACCAATAACCATGATCAACCACCAATAATCATTATCAACGCCTTAATTAACCTCTAAATCCTCTAAACCATACCCGAACGAGTCCGAAAATACCCGACGTCCTAAATAGGGATTAGATCGCGACTTACCGGACTCTAGACTAACTCGGCTAGAGCGGGAAGGTGGAACGGCTGGCCGGCGTGGCTCCGGCGAAACTCCGGCGAGAGAGAAAATGAAGGAAAATGGAGAGAAAGAGAGGAAAATGGAAGAGAAGCTGCTGGTGGGGGCTGGTTCTGCCGTGAGGGAGGGCTGAGGAGAGAGAAAACAGTCCAACTTGGTCAAATAAAGCAGCCCAAAGTGCCACGTGTCGCCGATCCGTGAAAAATGACCAAAACGCCCCTAATCTAACGGTTCTAAAGAGATAGGCTTAAATAATTGAGGGGCAATTGGGTCTTTGGTGCCAATAATGCAGCTGATAACCACAGTTACTTATCCCAAAAATTTCCCAAAAATTCGGACCCGAAAACGGCCCAGGGGCAAAACCGTCATTTTTCCGGTCCCGGGGCGAAATTCCAATTTTCGCACATACGTGTTCCATATGTGCGTGGCCAACATAATATGGCGTCGGATTCGCGAAATTCACTTTCTAAGCCCTCGAAAATCGACTGCGAAGTTTCGGGAATAAAATAATATTATTTTTCCAATTTTTTGTCGAAATTCCAATTTTTGGCCAAAACCACTCTAAATGTGCGTGGCCACCCCAAAATGACCTTGGCCGCGAAAAATAACCTCAAACGGCCTCTGAATCCAGTCTCGGTGCCCACAGGGGCAAAACCGTAATTTT